TGGCTGGGCTTGGCTCCAGGGCCACATGTTTCTCCTGTGCGGTGCTCGGTTATTTCTGTCTGTAGTGTTTGGCTTGGATTTATACTCCGCTGCTCTCTCAGTCACCTTGTCTTGTCTTGTCCTATTCTTCACACAACGTCAACGCATTTCTATCTTGGCTAGCTAATAGATATCTACTGTACTCTCGTTTTGATGAATTTAGTGTGTGTGAGCTTGCGACAGAAACTGGATTGATGGCAACCTTAAAACCTTGTGTTCCAGTAGTCTGGTTCAGTGTTAGTCACCTTCATTTTTTCTATAACACAGCTTTTTAATCATAATATAATACCACATAATAATTATAATTCTGAATGAAACAATGTTTTAAGTAGGAAATAGTGTAGATGATACTTACTTTTATCCTTTGGGATTTGATTGGATAACCCATGTTTGCAAATTTGATGTGCTAGGATATTATTTGCTAACATTGTTTATGCTAGGATATTGACTAATACTATTCATGCGACGATTGACTGATATCTTGTTCGCAAAGATGAAAGATGTATAGGCTAATGTTATTTATGCTACAATAATTGATAATGTTGTTTTTGCTAGGATAGTGGCTAATTACATATGCTAAGATATTATTGGCTAACTTGGATATTGACTAATACTATTCATGCGACGATTGACCAATATCTTGTACGCAAAGATGTTATAGGTTAATGTTATTTATGCTACATTATTGGATAATGTTGTTTTTGCTAGGATAGTGGATAATCACGTATGTTAAGATCTTATTGGCTAACATTGTTTATGCTAGGTAATTATTGGCTAATGGTGTGTATGCTGTAGGATATTGGCTAATAGTAAAGCTAGAATGTTTTTAGCTATTTTTATTCATGCTACAATATTATTAGCTAATGCTAATCATGCTAGATTGTTATCAGCTAATATCATTTATGTATTCTTGTCTAATTTAATTTAGGATAAGTTAATTATGTCCAACATTCTTTATGCTAGGATTTTATAAGCCTATTTGTAACATTGTTTTTCTCCGCCTACATGGTCTTGTTTACTTCAGCGGAGCAGACAAGTTTTGTTTGAAAAAAAGTTTCAGTATTTAATAAACTAACTTTGCTAAGCATACATTCGAAATATATAGCAATGCCTGAGCAATATGATCTTATATTACTTTGAGTTTTCTCACCTTAGCACTAACAGAAGCTTTTACTTCGGTGATGATTCAAAACTCTGATTTGATTTCATGTTTGATCTTCGTGTCAGCATATATGTGATGTAACTTGCCACAATTCTGTTGTCACTGGAGGGGTTTCTCGGGGCATGCATTCCCTCATGAGTGGCCAAAGTGTGTTTTTGCACCTGAATGAAGATGACCACTGGGATGTCATGTGAAGTGCAGTGAAATGTGTGAGGGATGTGTTGCTGTGAGCTACTACAGATGTTTGGAAGACAAGAATTTGTGTAATATTTCCTATAAGGTATTTACACCGTGTGTGTGTGTTTGTTTGATGCACTGAGGGACAGTGGGACTAATGTTTATGTGTAAGGAGATGAGGGAGTGGGAGAGGGGGGTGTGTTTGCTCATGCATTTGCATTTGTGTCTCTCTGAGGGGTTCAGCCTGGAGCTTCATGGATCTTTGTTGAAAGACTGCTCACTTTGTGTCCATTCTGAATCTCTCGCTCTCCATCTCTCTTAACAGCTCAGCTGAGAGGAAAAGGTTCACTTTCCCTACCAGACACCTCACATATTCATTTCCCAGTACCTCTCCTCAGATACAAGATACCACATCTCTTCCAATGATCACATGATTCGGTTTGCTTGTCAACCTTCCCCTTCCCCGGAGGAAGCTCAGGGTTGCCGTGGGGATGAGGATCCTGGTGGCAGATTTGGAGAATCTGAAGCAACGTTACCATGGCAGAGCCTGAGTCTGGGGAAGGGGTACATGGGCTTTTTGAAGCACTTGTTGTTGCAGCTTCCTGCTTGTTTTTTGTCGAATTATTCATATTTTGCACTTACGAGAGAGCACTACATATAACAAATTAACAGATACTACAATATCTTACCATATATACTTACAGTATACTTTTTACTGAGTAAGCAGGTGGCACATTTGAACTGAAATAGGTCTGGTAAGGTTTGAAGTTCAGTCTAATTAACTTAAAGGGTTAATTGTTCATTCAAAAATTGGATGGCAAAGCTGAGTCGCTCAGTACCTTTAGAGTCATGATTCTTCAGAATCATTTTAATGCGCTGATTTGCTGCTCAAGAAACATTTCTTATTATCTATGTTGAAAACAGTTAACATTTTTGTGGAAACTGATACATTTTTAAGGGTGAAAAGAAATTTTAGAAGAACAGCATTTATTTAAAATCTTTAGTAACATTATAGCTGTCTTTACTGTACCCTTTGATAATTTTAATGCAAGATTGCATAGAAGTATTTCTATTAAAAAGAGAACCTGTGAACTGAATTTCTGAGAGAAACGTGATATTCAATGAGAAAAAGCTTGGGCGGGTCTGTGTTGTATTTATGTGGAACTGATTGGACCATGACGGTTATTAAAATAAGTTAATTTGGTGACGTCAGTCGATGCGTTTTAGAAATGTAGCAATTCTATAATGAAATAAGATGAATATAAATATTTTTATTTGAGCAGTTGCGACCAAGACCAAGGAATGCCTTTTAAGAAAGTAAAAAGGAAAGTCAACTTTGATTTTATGTCTACTTTAATCCTTATTGATTAAAGACCAGCTGGCCAATGTTTCCATTTTAGCTTTCATTTTAATTGTCAGAGAACCATCTGTTTTTGCAGACATGGGTAGTTAATCTTTTGCAAACAGAACAAAAAACCTGGATTATAAGACACAAAGAGTACATCTGACTACAAGCTTTGGGCAACCAGTCAGACTAGGGGTCCCGATTTATCAATCCTTTCAGTGTTGATAATGGGTGTTAAAGGGGTCATATAATGGTACATGCACTTTTACAAGTTGATTGTACTGAAATATGTGTCATATAATGATAAAAATCTTGTTTTATTTTGTTTTAATCTCCTTATATGTTTTCCACTGTCTCAAATTGAGCCATTCGTTACTGTGACGTCGATAAATCGGACGCCCCTCCCACGACTGTTGATTGACAGCAGCGTTTCAACACATCCCCGCCCTGAGCGACCCGTTCTGCCGTCATTGTTGATACGCTGGACCGGCGTCTAAGTGATTGTGGTGGTTGTCACTCTTAGAAGAAATGGTTCTGTTAGAACCAGAAATGGTTCCATCCCCCGCTTCATATATGGAACTCCAAAATGGTTCTATATAGAACCCAGAGGAACCCTTTTTTAAGAGTGTATAGAACCTTTTAGGGGTTCCAAATATGTAGCGTTGATAGAACCTTTTAAGGTTCTAAATAGAACCTTTTCTTCTAAGAGTGTTGGGTGTAATAATGAACACAGTCATTTGGATGTTCCTAAATCCATACCGCTGAAGACGCAGTGGCTGAGTTTTTTTTTTTTTTTGAAGGGAATATTCCCCACGATCAACGTCAATGCGTTCATGTTCACTTCTCTACCCTGCCAGTATACAGAAATAGTTCAAAGTCTCATTACATTAACCAACCATTCAGAAACACCCTGTTCGAGCCTTAATTGTCGAACTTCTTTGCGCCCGTCATCTTGTTCCGGGTCCGACTCTGGGTCAAACTGATACGGTTGCACAGATGTATCCTCAGAGACTCCTGCTGCCATTCTTTTTTCCAAAATATATCAATGTTGTCCACTGTGCATTGTATCAAAACGTCAACAGAACAAAGGGGCGGAGTGAGCAAAGCTCATTATCATTTAAAGGCATATGCACTGAAACGGCATGCTGAAAACAGAGCTGTTTTTGACCAGGTAAAATGAGTGTTTTCTTAAATTACTAATGAGAATTTTTAATTAAAGTATATTACAAAGTTTTCATTTTGACCCTAAACATTCATATTAACTTGTACATAAATGGCATTAAATGACCCCTTTAAAGACCAAACAGCATCAGAATTTATATATTTTTCCTAGATTCATTTTCCCCCATTCAAGATTCAATATTATAAAATATGGTATTTTATAATATTTATAATAATATATTTTATTTTTATTTAGTGTGACATGAGCAAAAAGGGTAGATTTCTAACCAGTACCTCTAGGGGTTTCTTCACCAGCTGAGCAACTGCCACTGAGATGAATGGAAATGCTAACGGATAGCCTTCTCCAGGTATTATAGACCTCCTTGGGGCAATTGCTCAGCAGGCCCATGCATTAATCCGTCATTGAGCGAGATATGCATGGAAAGAGTCCGACCATGCACACTAGGCAGAAAGCAGAAGAGGGAGTAACTTCCTGCAGTGGGATAAGGCAAACAGAAAGAGAAGATGAAAGACAAACAGAGACAGCGGAGTAAAACGAAGAACAGGTCAGACAAGATGCAGGAGGAAGCATACCGCAATACGCACCTTTAGATGGACCGTGGAACGCGCAAACATGCAGATGCAAATATACTGAAACATAATGGAAATTCTTGTTTTGGCAGAGGAGGAAGGTCACAAATATTTACCACCTTTTTGTTATACACCTGAATGTTCCGAAAGCCTTTTTGTGATGGTCAGAAATGCCATGGAACATAAGAAAAGGGGTCAAGGATGTTGTGATAGAGTGATATTTTTTTTCAATACTAAACAAAAGGTCACATTGAGATTCAGAAAGATGCAAGAGACATTTAAGTCTGACTGTGTTTCGTAGTTGCATGAAGAGGGCAGAAGAGAACAGATTTCTTTCTAGACTGAACGAGTGCGGAAAGGTCTGGCAGAAAGGCAAGCAGTCCAGGAGCACAGCAGAGAGAGGGATTGAGAGGGAGGGACTGGTGAGAAGGGGGTGGGGCCTGCCTTCTGCTCAGCCTATCGGATCCAGACTGGGGCAAGCAATGACAACTGGTGTAGGAGCGAGTGAGAGAAGCAAAGAGAGAGAGAGAGAGCATGAGAAGGAGAGAGGTAGACGGAGATGTATATTCTCAGTCCCTCAGCCAGAGGCAGAGAGCTTGGTCAGACTAGAATAGCACAGGACGGTCCTGGTCCAAAGTGTGTTTCGGAGTGTGGGCCAGACAGCATGTCGGATCCTGAAGCCAGAGTGAACTCAAAAAAAGCCGGCATTCGGGCTGCCGTCATTCTGATCGGACTACTGCACAAGTCCAGGCGGCAGAAGGAGAAAGAGAGAGAGAAGGAGCGGTGGGTGAACTTTCTTTTTTCCCACCCACTAATTTGACCTGTGATTTGAGATCTGGGTCAGTTCTGGTGTTGTTATTGCTCTAGTTGACCTGCGTTTATGGCTATGTAGGTCTTTATGTACACTCCATACATTTATTGTCATCCCAGAGTGTGTTGTAATTGGGTCAGTATATAGTAAAAGACCCTTTTTTGTGGATGTTCTTGTTTGCAGCTTCACAGCTTCCCTCCTCATATGCCCCAAAGCAAAATCGAATTTCTTAGATATTGCTCATTCATAACTCAGGACACTTGACGTAGTTCTCAATTATGTGTCATTAAAGTATCTGAACACATAAATGAGCCAATTGTTGATATACTGTACAGTCAATGTAAAACTACCATGGATTATATTTTTGGTCTCGCAAGAATATGATGATAAATGTTTGAGACTTTTATTCACAGAATTTGGTGTAGATTTAACACAATTTGAGACATCATTGAGAATAGTGTTAGTATTTTTATATTATTTTAAATGAGATTTTATTTGTCATATGTTTAGGTTTCATTAGATTTTTTATGTTGGTAATTTAGGTTAAAAATACGTTTTTATTTCAGTTTGAGTTTTTTTTCATTCATTTTATTGCTTATATTTTAGCCACCAAGTCAACATTTCTAATTTTCATTTAGTTTAAGTCTAAGTTTAAGTCTAATCTATTTAAATTTTAATGAATGAATGAATACTTAAAATAATTTTAGTCTTCTGAAACTCTGTGATGTTGTTGGGGGTCTTTCCCTTGCTCTCCTATCAGATCCCATTGGTGTCTAGGAGAAACAGTTAAGATATTAAGAAGATCACACGTGTAATTTTCTCTTTCCTGTGTAACAGTCCATGTACAAAGAGTTCAAAAGCAAATACAGCTCTGTTAAACTTATTGAGAGTAAACAGAGAGAGAGAGAGAGTGGGGCAGATAGTTTTCACCAAACTCCCCTTGTCAGGGCCATCCAGGTCTGATCGTTTATTGAAATAAATCTCTGAGGAAGAAACCAAAAAACTATTTCTCAGCTATCATTTACTAAAGGCTTCTCCAGTAGCTATCTGGTCAGTAGCCGTGTTTCTCTATATCAACTGGCATGACTTTCACTAACTAATAGTGACCACACTTTGTCTAATCATTAATTAAAACCAATTTGACCGCATACACGTACCAACACACATCCAAACACACTCTTTTACGTAGGTGTCGTGCTGCTCTGAACCATCCACACAATGCGGTTTGTGTTCGGAGGCGCCGCGCGTGCGGCTCCATTTGCATAGATCTCATCGATAACTGGCATGGTTACTGACATCACTGCGAGACGGCCCTGCTGGAGTCGCCTTGTTTATTCCCTCTAGATCCGTTCTGTCCCGTTCTTCTGCTCAGATGGGCACTCCGTGAGAAGAAAGTGGCTTTACAGGTCTGCTGTGTTTGAATGAGTGATAAGCAGGGCACACAGTATTTGTCAACATTATGTGAATCACCTTGAAAGGCAGGGTTGTTTCGAGTTTGGACTGTCAGAAAAGTTATTGCTCCCTCTTGTCTTAATCAAAGGGTTGAGTGCTGTAGTAATTGCATTGTTTTATGTTAAAATGAAAGGTTTGGTACAGGGTTCGAGAGTGTAATTTAATAATGTTGATGAGTTAACGTTCTTTGAGTTGGTAAAAAAAAGAGCCGCCTTTACCAGTGATTTTGTCTTGATTTCCAGTAAAAATATAAAAAAATCCAGAAAACAAAGCTTACATTTTATTAAGCTTATAAGACATATTTACAGAAAATATGTTGAATTTATTAAATTAATAATAATAATAGCTATATAATATAAAATAATACATTGGAAGATTTTATTTTAAGCATTTAAGAATTTTTTTTTTTGTAGCATACATCTAAAACAAATTTCCAGTGGGTTAAATTATTCTACATATTCTCCAAAAATATATTGATATCTAACGCAATTTTTCTCCTCAAGTAAATTTATTTATTTTAAAAAAACTTTTTTTATGGGAAAACAAGACAAATATTTTTTTTATTTTGAATTTTTGTTTTGTTTTCGGTCTCTCTACCACCTTAGTTTCATGTTTTATTTTGGTTAATGATTCTTTACTTTACATGATGCTCCTCTTCCATTTATCTTGGCAAGTGCTGTAAGATGAGTGCAGCAGCGAAAGCATTTCTTCATAAGCTCATTAAGCACCAAAGCAAATGTTTTTCTGGTTTCCTGTTTCATTCACTGAAATCTAATTTTCTCCACCTTCATCACTCATTTCTCCCGTGATCCTGTCTCCTGCAGTTCACATGAACTGCCTTTACCTCCTGAATCATTCTGTTTCCATCACACTTTATTTTCCTTCAGCTTTTTTCACTTTTCTCTGTGTAATTTGTACTGTACCTCCGCTGTGCCCTCCTCCCACCTTTACTTCCCCTTCGCTCAGTTGTTTTGCCCCCTCCCCTCTCTCGCTCCCTGTTGTTGAGAAAGCATTTTTGATTAGCAGCTGCATGAAATTAAACTAAACTAGGTCACCTTTTGCCCTCTGCCTTGCATATAAACGTACACAGACTCAATGTCCTCTAGGTCCCAGGATAAGATTCCCAGCATAAGATACCAGTTCAGTTCCTCATTCAGTATCACAGATGCATCATCGTCTGTAACTGTAAGAGCGAGTCATCTTTGAGTACCTGGAAAAAAAACATGCAGCTCATTCATCCAGAAGAGGCTGTAAAACAGTCCTCTGGCTGCCAGCACAATGGCCAAAATCACTCAATAAAATACACACAGTAAAAATACAAAGTAAAGAGGTCAAATGGCAACAAAGCATATTGAGAAAGTGATGGATTATGTTCTATGCTCCTTATCAGTCCTGCTAAAGGTAAACATTAAATGAGAGGGGATGGAATATTCCTTCTGAATGTCCCTGAACTTTTTCTTTATTTACTGCCGTGTGAAAACAAAACACTGTAATTTTTCGGAGTAAGTGATAAAGTGATCTTTTAATAATTTAGTTCATACATTTTTGTATCAACATTTCATTTTAAAGGTCCCCTGACATGAAATTTTCACTTTTGATATTTTTTAACGTTAATATGAGTTCACCTAGCCTGTAAATGGTCCCCCAGTGGCTGGAAATTTCAATCGGTGTAAACCTAGCTTTGTCTATCTTTCTTTGCCTTTGAGAAAATGAAAGCTCAGACGTGCTGATCTTGAGTCTCCCCTGTATGACATCATAAGGGGGAAAGGTTACCTCCCCTTTCTTTGCTTTCCCCGCCCAGAGAATTTGGCTCGCCCATGAGAAAATGAGCTACATAGTACGAACGCGATTTGAGATTTTCCTCAAGAGTTTTTCCTGCACAATGGAGCTCAGATATTTCAGATAATTCAGACATTACTGTATACCTCCAGTTTGAATACATAAGTACATCAATATATAAACACATGTTGACCAGATTCTGTAAGCTGTGTATTCAAATCACTTTAAGAAATGCATTGCTTTTTGTCTTTATTTTTAAATAAAAAAATAAAACGGACAAAAAAAATAAGCCTAATGTCAACCTCCTAATCGATTTGTGAACAAAATCAGATCTTTTAGAATGTGATCTGTTCCGTGACAGATTAGTTTAGCTCAACTAAGCTCAGATTCAGAGAAGACGGAGTGTGAAAAGTGATATCAAATCAATCAAAATTCAATCAAAAGACATTGAAACCATTTTCCCCAGCTTCACTGTTGCCATAGTTTTTGCATTTTACCTTTTATAGAATGATAGAATAGCTGCCACTCATTGTCCAAATAAAAGTGTCTCTTCTGGTGTGTGTGCATTTGTATAGTAGTGATGAATGTCTCGAGACCGGTCTCAAGACCACTTTTACGTGGTCTCGGTCTTGACACAGACCGACATAGGGAACGGGGGATTTAGCAATACAAAACTATAATATCCACGAAGACGGTGCGGTATCCAAATGAAGACAGTGAGGTGTGTGCGAGCCACACGAGAAAACACAGTATCCACGCCACTGATCGCAGCGGCAACGAGCACTTTGATCACTTGATTTAAAAAACGAATATCATGTAGTTTTTGATGTATTAATATTTAGTGAAACACATATCAGTGACATGATGGGTTTTAACTTCATTCAGGAGATTTGGGGTAATTTTGTACATAAATGATGTATTTAAAAGTTGCAGAATGGATTCATTTGGAGACTTCGAAAATCGGCAGAGATTGGCAGGCAGTGCAAAACAAAATCTTACAAGTTATTGCTTAGCTTAAACAACACTTGTCTGTTTTTTTCCCCTCCGGTCTCGACTTGGTCTCGGTACCCTTTGGTCTAGGTAATGTCTTGGTCTCGGTTTAGGCGATCTTGACTACAAGTCTAGTGTATAATAGTCCATTGAACTGTGTATAAGTGGAATAGATGAGGTGACCATGTCTCTCTTCACAATTGCTTCCGAAACGGTTTCACTGACAGGTTGTATAGAGCCTATTTACAGAGCCGTTGAACTGAGGAGGGTATTTTTAGAAGTCACTTTTCTTTGCCCCTTTCTATCTCCCATTCTCGCTCTCTCAAAACCCTGTGGCGTCCTCTTTGTCTCCTGTTAGACTGTTGATTTAGAGATATGGACAAAGGGTTAATGCATTTAAAAACCCCAGTAGAGCACAGGTTGCTTTAATAAAGGGAGTGATATCAAAAGCCCTGCTCAATGGCAGCATCTCACCAGCCCCCCTTAAGGCCCCAGTGCTGGTCTGATGGGACTCTTTTTGTCTTTTTGAATGTGGAAAGCCTCCAAAAACTAACAACTGTCCAATTTATCTAAAGGCAAATAAACAGGAGCAGCTCCTGGAGTCACGCTGGAGGCAAAAACACATCAGACTGAATACTGTCAAACAGGGGAGGGAAGATATTGTTGATATGAGAATGAATTTGATTTATTCAGACAGTTGGAAAAAGGGATTACATATCAACAGGTTTGTGTCTGTTCCTTTGCCAGTAGC